TGGAGGTCCCTAAAGGGGTCTAAGGATGAGAGACATTCTCTGTGACTAGTTAAGAACTATTTCAAGGTTCACCAATAAAAGTCTTAACGAAGAAGACAAAAGGAAAAAAAATGGATTAATAATGAGCCCGCCTTCACACATTTTTTATTTATACACAAAAATAGTGAATTATGTGTAAGAAATGTTTTGAAATGATTTATCATGCTTTTATTTTCTTTACATCATAAAAACCTCTTTAACCATCATGTCTGCACTTTTGATTTCTCCTCTAGCGTTAAGGCTGGGATATTGAGTTTGGTCACACTGTTCTTTTCAGCATTTGGTTAATCATATGTCACCAATTGATGATTGATTATATTTAGCTTTTTTCTTAGATCATTTAGACTGGATCTTTTTCCGCCTCTTAACTTCAGGGCTAATGTTGAAACTGATTATATTGTTTTAAGATTAGGTTTTTAACTTTCAGTCATGAGTGTGTCACAAAGCCATGTGAGAACATCAGGCTGTACTAGATGTTCATCCCATGAGATCCATGACTAATACTTATGTTTGTCTCAATGATCCGCTGCAATGAGGAAACAATTGGTGGAAAGTTAACACATTCCTTTAAATTGATCAAACCCACATGACAAATTAGATCATATTTTATTTTTGATGATAGCAGCAAACATGACAGCAACTAGTTTTTTATATTACCTAACATCCTTGTGTGGCAAATATTTTGTAATATATGAGAAAAAAACGGAACCTGAAATTGTCAGAAAATACCATCAACTGTGTTCAATGTGTTACAGTTATGTGTTGCTTGGAGAAGTCAAAATCTATTTTGTTCAGATCAGTTCATTTAAATTGTTTTCCATTCTATTTGATTCCCTTTTTTAAATCATTTCCAGTGGTTTTGGAGGAGCTTCCAGAACAGAGCTGCAATTCTGTATTTGGTTGTTAAGTTTCTTTAAGCCTGCAACAGACTTCTAAAACATATATAGCATCTTGCTGAAGGACCTAAGCCTCCTTAAGAAGTGCAGACTGCTCTGCCATAGGCGTTGTTAGCCCATTTTGGGGGGTGCTGAAGCACCCCTAATTACTCACTTCATTCACCTGCTGTTTTCTCTCCCTTCTTTAATTATTATTGATCTTATTCACCTGCTCCCTCTGCTATATGTATGGTTCAGCCCAGCAATCGGGGCCAGCTCCGCCCCTTCTTATAGATGGCCTCACAGCTGTAGAATCTGTTGTCCAGGTGAACACAAAGGTATTTATACTCCTTCTCCACTCCTACTTCTTCTTACATTATCTTATTTGACTATTATTCCTATCAGGATTAGATAATTATGTACAAACCATGCCATAAAGCAGGTTAGCACCTCGTCTTACTCAGCTTCTTGTCCATCCCGGATACACGCCATGTGTGACTCTACTTTGTACTGGAAGTCAGAGGTGTACAGAGCAAAAGGAATGGTGAGAGTATCTTCCACTATGGTGCTCCTGTGTCCCTATCTGGTTAAACACTTGACCCTTCTGTCTTACAAACACTTTGATCTTGGCAATTGTTGAGGCCTCCGTCTGCATTTTCAGGAATTTTTGACAAAGCAAATCAGACTGAACCTAAGAAATGCTGTGGAAATCGAAGGAAATGATCCCCACACTGCTGTCTGCCTTGTCTAAATGAAAATGGATTTGTTCAAGCACGTTTGACATCTTTAAGTCCAACTCCACAGAAGTAAGCAAACTTTAAGGGGACCTGATGACTGTCTGCTTTCTCAGGTTGATTAAAAGGAGTCTTTAATGGACTTTCATATTGCAGGATGTCAGGGAAACACTTGCATAGTTATTAAGGACTGTTGGCTAAGTGTTCTTTGTAACTGTAAGAAAGCAGGAGGTCTCCCATAACACTGGAACCATCTCCTGGATGAGGCTAAGGATGAAGAAGTGCTGTAAAATCCCACAGAGCTGCTCTGCACAGGCCTACAGGACTGTGGGGCTAACACCATCAGGACCTGGAACCTTATTCTAAGCTCAGTCTCTGCAGAAATCCCTTCATCTGACTTCCAGAGATAGACAGGTGGAAGGCAAAGGGAGCAGCGCCATCTTCTGATTTGGTTGAGAACAAATATAAAAGCAGGCAGGTCCATAGGAGATTCCATAGTCCATGGGAGATTAAACAATTGGGGAGTGAGAGCGTAGCTTTGGGTAAAAGGAGGGAAGATGTCTGAAGACTATGGGAGTTCAGACTTCCACCCGTCCAATCATTTTTTTTTTTTTTTTTTTTGCTTTAAGCTGGTGATCTTCCTCATCCCTGACCAAACATCTTTGATATTGTTCTGCTGGAGCTTGCCCTCCAGCTTCCTCCTGTATACCTCCTTGCATTCTCTTATGTTGATCTTAGATTGATACTATATACTCCTCAATAATTCTGTCTCCCTCCCCGAAGGCTCTTTTTTTTCCTGTTTAGTAATTCCTTCAGAACAGTGATTATTTTGGGTTTGTTATATGGAAATGTTCAATACGGGGCAAGACTAATTTTCTTCTTCTCCCTCTCCCTTTTTATTACTGTTCTGCATCCTTGGTCTGGGGTTTGACTGGACCAGAGTAATAGAAGAATGCCTATGCATAAGTAATTTTTCTCCACATATCATGTAATTTACAGTCTTAACGGCTACAATGCTTGCAGTCATTCCCAAAGTTAATAAACCCCAACCGCAGATAAAGTGCAGTAATTTGGTATAGACTATTTTTAAGCAGAAAAACTTAAAGCGTGCAAATATTGAGGAACCATCATTTCACAGTATCATTGTGCAACTTCAGGAAAAATTACAGTTCCTTTATTTATTTGCTGCCCTCTTCACTGCTATGAAGCAAAATGTCTGATGACACTCTTTCCAAAAACTTGAATATTGCCTCAGTAACTTTTAAAGATTTATTACAATTTTGGCCTTTTTTTGTATGAGGAAGCTGGCTGACAGTTTTTCACACCTTGATATAAGGTGTTGACCTTATAAGGTCAGCTGTTATATGCACAAATAAACATTATCTTTGATCTTTAAACCCAATCAGTTTTCAAGTTAGAATAGGAAAAGATTTGCTTGATAACTATAGCTGAAATGCTCAATTGTCAGTCGATTGTGAGAATATTACCGTAGACACCTTGAATGGTTCAGTGTTTTCAGGGTTCAGAGATATTAGTTGTCAAACTTTGGGAAATAATTATGAGGCCAATACAGCTGTTAGTAATAATAATATTAAAAAAGGAATTTGCTATTTACATAAAACTCAATGTTTTGATCATGCCAACCAATTGTCTCTCAAGTGAGAATTATGTAACTTACAAAGATTTTGTTCCTTTTAAAATACTTTAAGTGTTTTTTTAAGGGAAAGAATAAGGTATAACAAGAACATATTTACAAGCTGTTTATGACATGGAGGAGGCTTATACGCACAGAAGAAGAATAAATGTTAAGTCTGGGAAATTGCAGCCAATGAGGAAGTCTTCCTGTTTCAGCATGTGATGTGAAATTATGGATCAGTTTTCTAATAGAAATTAGAGACAGTCAAAACATCAAATCATTTTATTGAAAAAGTAAAAAAGAAATTATTCGAATAAGGACAATTCTTATTGTAGCGTTGAACATCAGTTTTCATGGGACTTCAGCATACAGTGCACCTCGCCATGTTGTCATCATTCCTCACCATGGCCGGTTCTAGACGAGGGCCAACAGGGGCCAGTGCCCCTGTAGATCATATCCTGGCCCGTGTTATGGCCCCTGTGCTGAAGACATAATACTAAAAAGAAATTCTAATGATGATCTACGCTGGAACAGACATGGTCACTGATAGATCCTTTGGAGCTACTTCATTTCTTTTCCTTTACAAATTCTGTTTTACTAATTACTCAAAAACAATAAGGTGATAGCTTCAGTGGTAGAGATAGGATCCCAATTTTCCTCTACTAAATGTTTTTTAATAGAAAAAAAATTCTTTAATTTTTACAGATGAATTTTAAGTTTTTCTTGAATTCTAATTTAAATTTGATAGAAAACGGTAGTTTTAACTTAAATTAAGTCAAAAATATTTAAAATTCCTAAATTATAAATCTATATTGACCTCATAAGAAATAGAATTTTTATCACACTTATCATAGTACTATATTTTATTTTTACCATCTTATACTTTATTCCCTTCATGCAGCTCTCTTAATATATTTGAATTCCTTGCCCTTTTTTTATTTCATGCTTTTCTGTGCCCCCGTTGGCCCCCTCCAGGCCAATTTGTTCAGCTCTCTGATCAACCAACCGCTTTGGACAGATATGCTGCACAGGTTTCACCAGCAGCCTCCTCCTCACACCCCGCTCTCTCTTGTTGTTCCTGCGCAATCAAAGACATTCTAATCCGCACATGGTGCAGAAATTGTTTTGCCTGCTCGCTCTCACTGGCATTAAAAAAATACCACCTCGCAGAGTCTAAAATCCGGGATGATTTATCCGACTCGCGGGCATCCGTGAATAACTATTGATATCAGGGAGACTCCCGGGAGACTTGGGATGTATGCATCTATCCCAGGGATGTTTAGCAAAGTTTTGCTGATGAACTGGTAATTCTCTTCAGGTGTGTTGAACCAGAGACACATCTAACAAGTGCAGGACACCAGCCCTCGAGGACTGGACTTGAACACCTGGTTTTAAAAAATGGGTTGTTGGAAATTATTTAGTTGTTAAATAGCAAAAGAAGGGCACTAAATAAGTTGTACTTTGACCCACTCCTTTTTGAACATTGACATATTTTGTATTTTTTTTTTTAGGTATGTTTGTTTTCTTGATTTTGTGTGCTTCTCTTTATATTATTGTGATTACCGGTAATAGTTGGAAAACACACACAGGTGGGATATAACCATTAATAAGGTAAAACAAGTTCTGAAGTCAATGGATTCTACTGGATTTTAATTCGAGTGTCATTGTAAAGGAGAATCACAACACAGACACAACTTTTCACTTGTTTTTTATTTATTTTTTTTTATTTTACAAAGATTTTGGAACCATGCATTACCTGGTTTTGTCACAATTACGCTTATTTCCTCTTTGTCACAAAATGAGATAAAGTTCAATGATATAAATATGTACGTAATGAGTGTATAAGTATTTAAAGGAAGAAGCACGTTTTAGCTTTGAAAATTTGAAGGGAATAAAAAATATTAAATGAACTGAAAAGAAAAAAAAAGGATGAAAAATTTGAATCTTTTATGAAAAAAAGACTGTTTTCATCATACTATTCTGTCAAAATGTAAAATATTTCAAATTTGACTCTAGCTATTAACCACCTCTTCCATTAGGGTTGAATTAGTTGCAATAAACAGGTAACTTATCAATAATACAAAATATGATTAATCAACCATCTGTAGATTTCATCCTATTTTCCTGCAACATCCAGAATCTCTGTTGTTCCGTCAGGTTTTTGGCCGAACGTCTAAAATATCTAATTCTGTACAGAACTCAGTCAGAACATATGGAAAGAAAAAAGTTAATCTTTAACATTTAGTAGAGACACATCTGGGATAACATCACGTTTGTTTTGTGTGTTCTTCGGTTTTGAGTCTATGTCAAAGTCTGCTTCATCCTCAAAGTCATCATCATCTTCATCATCATAATCTTCATCAGAGTCGAAATCCTCCTCCTCTTTTTTCCCTCGCTTGTTTCCTTTCTTTCTCTTTGGCTCTTCCTCTTCTTGTTCATTGCTATCCAGGTGTGAGTTCACCCTAATGAGTGACAGAGAAATATAAGATAAGTCCTGATATTTTTTGTCATTAAACCTGTGATATACATGACAATATTTCCTGAATTTTACAATGACAACTTGTTTTTGTAGGAGATGAAATGATAAAATCTTCCTCATAACTTTTTACTTTTTATATTTTATATCCATATTTTTATGTTAAGTGTATATATTAGTCTATTTTATTGCATGCCTTATACCCACAATGTTTTAGATATTTTTTATAATTTTATTTACCTATTCCATATTATATGTTTCATGTTGCACGATTGTACCATAAAAAAATTCCTGGTTTGTGAACTCCTTCACTAACAATGGCAATAAACCTGATTCTGATTCTGATAAATGGTGGTAATGTGTCTCATTGTCCACAAGAGGGCACACTCAGACTAGCTTTGTTTTGTGTCCATGCCCTTACCATGCATCTCCATATAAGGACTATCCTGACCTAACAGCATCATATAGAGCAGGATGGTCTTAATTCTAATTTTAATCTGCAGAGAATTTGGGTCAGAAGAAAACACAGAGCAACTTTTCCACTCACGGTATAACAATCTCCTCATTCTTCCCACATTTGCAGCAGACGTCAAGCTGGAGCGAACAGGGCTTGCAGATGATGTGATATGCATCTCTTATAGTCTTTTGAGAGCACTTGACACTGTAAAGAGAAAACCCCATGCAGATTGTTATCAACCATTTTTTTAATATATATTTTATGCACATAGAGAACATGAAACATTTGCAAACACTATTAAATGCAACTGTTTATGTTTTTCACTGATAAACTAGAGAGCTACTAGGACAAATACTGGGTTTCAAATGCTGTTTCAAAACAACTACAGACAGTTCAGTATGGAGCTGTGTTTACACTCACTCTCACTCTAATAATAGAAAAAATACAAATATGAAAGAAAACAGGTGGAAACTATTCAAATGCTCAACTTTTTGCCATGTAAGAAACACTCATATGCTTCCTTTTGGGAATATATGATGTGGAAATGTTAGGGATATTAAATAGGCTGTATATATTTACATATTGGTTGTTTTATGTTTTTTTTTTCCTACTGCAGTACTTTGTTTTTTATTATGTCATCTGTACTTTATTTTTTAAGGTTTGTTCAAAATGCTGAGATGGCCCTTTCCAGACTACAAAACAAATGTACCTACGGGTATCAACAAAGTTACTTTGAAAGTGATCATCAAGGAGCCTTTTGGGTGAAATGTGGGGAAGATCTTTGAGTTAATTTTGTTTATTAGTAGGCGTTTTAATTATCTGATAATGAATGTAATAAATGTACGGTAATGATTTCACTTTAGAGTAATTTAGCTCTTTAGAAGATTCAACAATGTTTTATGCTTCTTTGTGTGGAGTTAAAAATCTTGTTTATAGGAATGTCAAAATCTTAGAAGTTGTTTTTCTTCTCTTTTAGCTTACTTGATGTGATTCTGATTCTAATTAAGTGTTTCTTTCTCTGTAACAGTAATCAAGGAAAGTGGCAACGTGGCAATTCCCTGTTCATTTATGCCTTAACAACAGAGCTGATCATGTTTTCACAAAGAACCTAGCTAGCTTGGACAGCTGTTTTCTTTTTGCTTTTTTTTATTGTAGGTTTTTGGACTTTAACCTGATACGCTGATTCCAATTTTGATGGATAAAATTTATTTATTTTTTTTTATAAATCAAACATTCATTGTTTATAAAATCAAAAGAGACCTTCAATATTTTAATCTTATCCAAATTAAATACAGTAATCAGTAACTGAAACAATATAAACTTCTCATAAAACGTCTCTGAAATCTAAATTGATTAAAGCATTGACAGCGGTTGATCTTGAGACCTTTGTAGACGTAAATATGACCAATTTCACATCTAAGTATTGGCGACAATCAACATCCCAAAAAATGGAAATTTAGGCCGATCAATCAGTGCACCCCTATTGTTTTGGTCCAAAAAAAGAGAAAAAAATGCTAAATTGGACTGAAACAATTAATCGGGTTAGTCGAATATTAAAATAATGGTCAGCAAATTTAGTTAATGATTAATCGTTAACTGGAGTATTGACTTTTAAACATGCCTTTAGCTGACAGAGCAACCTACTTAGAGAAGCAACTATACCACAATTGTAAAAAACATGCATAAATATTAAATTTGTTCAGATCAGTTCATTTAAATGCAAAATAAATGTTTTGCATTTAAGAATAAATAAAATGTTTTGTCTATCGATATGCTTCATCATGAACGCAAGTGGAAAAATTTTTAGTTTCCCCCGTTTTAAATCCTGCAAAAAATCTTCTTTAAGGAACATTTTTCTATCAGATTATTAAAAAAAATTATCGACAGAGAATTAAATGAGCAAAATGAGCTTTAGTTGCAGCCGTAGTGCTAACAGCTTTTTTAAATTACTGATGTGTTTAATAATGACAAGAAAGGCAAAGCAGGAAAACTGTCAGGGCACAACATTAAAGAAGAAATCTGATTGTCAGGACAGAAAACAATGCAGAATGTGTTGAAAATAGAAACAAAGGAATTGAAAAGGTAGAAAAAGGAGAGTATATATTGTAAGAAATCTGATAAAACATTAGATTTATGTCTAAGGAAAAAAAAAACACTAATGTAAATGATATTTAAATGCTCAAAAGAAAAACATAAGGTTCCAGTGTTTTTAGCAACTAAGAGGCCATAGATGAGCTTCTGCATCATATATTAATATATTTCGAAGAGAAAATGGAAGAGTTGTTCATTGGTATCCAAATCAATACGCTGGTGAAGATTCTCAGTTATCCAAGTCATAGTCATTCCAAAAAAAAAAAAAAGAAAATGAAAACAATTCACTGGACTTTGTTTTCAAGTTTGAAGACGTTTCACTTCCCATCCAGGAAGTTTTTTTTTCTTTACATCACATTTTGAATTGAAAAAGCTTCCTGGATGGGAAGCGAAATCAATGCTTGAAAGATTTTATTATTTTCCTAAAGTCGAGCAGAGATTAATCAAATTAAAATAAATCAACTTAATAAGGAAAATTGGGGGGTAATAGCCAAAAATATTTAATTAATTTAGCATTATGTTAAAAAAAAAAAAGACGAGTTAAGCAACACATTTTAGAAATCACCTGAGAGCCTAAACATATTGCTGACATAGAAAAATAAGTACATAACTTTAAACTACATTGCAGTTAAACGATCAGAAACCTAAACAATGTCAATTGTGGGGTATATTTACCACTTTTTGAGCTGAGTTAGAGGCTTGTATTTGTTGTACTTGACTTTCCACTCAAGAACTCCTTTGCAGTGTTGACAGAGTCCATCGTGGATCTTTGAATTGGCCTTCTGTAGTTTAGAACATTAAAGCAGAGATCATGTGTTAGAGTCAGATAATGCTGAAAGACTGAAAACTATAGAGAGGTGGATAAATCTATACAAGTTAACCTTGCTTTACACTCATCTGATCTTGGCTCTTTTTAAACACATTCTCCCCCCGAACCTAAATTACACGTACTTTTTGCTACTGAAAAGATTGTTCAAGCTTTCTTATCTTTTTTTTGCTTCAAGCTTAATATATATATCCAATATATTTTTAAACAGGCTATCGCAGGATTCACTCACTTTTACTTGCACAGTCGCGCCGTATTTGTCGTTTTTAAAAGCCTTTGTGTTTTTATATTTCTGAGGTCGCGATCGAGAAACGTTTCCTTTCTGGGAGCTCATTTTGTTTTTTATCTTTGGATAAATTATGTTAAGCGGGTTAAAAAATTTCCAACAAGCATGCTACCACAGGGAAGCCGTAACCCGGAAGTAGTTGTCTTCTTCTTCTTTTCTATTATGGCGGATCGCAAGCAACTTTAAGGTGCATACCGCCACCTACTGTATATGAGTGTGTGGCAACATTACTGTACATCAAATTCTATTTTTTGTATTTTGTATTCTGTAGATAAATAAATAATGCTTCCTTCGTCATGTGTGAATATCATTTAAATTTCCTTCATTTCCCAATAGGAAGTAGTTGTCTCCGTCACGAGCCGTCATAACACGAGCATTTTATCTATCTGAAATATATTGGGGTTGTATTTTTACTTTATTTAATTCCATTGTGGTTTAAGCTTTAATGGAATAACATGTATCAATTGCTGTTTTATTTCTAGAGTAATTTCCAACAAAAACATCACGCAGCCGCTGTAGACACCTATATCCACAGAACCCTGCAGAAAAAAAAATACGTAAGCCTGTCCGCCATATTGAGAGTGGCAAGCGAACTTTAGGAAATATGTGTATATGACTACACATAGTAGTAATAATAATAATAATAATAATAATAATAATATTTATTCGAACAATGTTGAATAATTAGAAGATGATGTCATAACAAGCCGCTTTGTTATGAATGCTGGCGTACCATAAAGAATAAATAATGAACATTTTAGTTTGTTCCTTCAAGTCATTTGCCCAAAGGAAGACGTTACTTGGATATAACCTAACCGAATATCTTCAGAACAGCTCCAAATGACCCAAAACTCATATGGGTGAGTAGAACATGATTTAATAACGTAAAATCAAGGGCCAATTGTAAAAAAAACGGCATTCCCCTTTGACTAGTTTTCAATGGGACCAGAAATTAAGATGGTAAAGTAAAAAGTAAAAAATAAAATGCAAATACAAAAAGGATTCAAAATATTCAAGCCGGATTAGGAAAGGTATTTATATTCAGATTTATGGATTGCTGTGTTTAAAAGAGTTTAAAAATACATTATTAAAACAATAATAATAATAACAATAATAACTGAACTTTATTAATCTCATGCTGGAGAAATTTACCTTTGCATTAGCCCATCCCCTTGGGGAGCAGTGGGCTGTCACTGTGCTGTTCCTGGGGAGCAGTGTGGGGTTACAGGTCTTGCTCAGAGACCCAGAGTGCAGGCTGTTGGCATCGAACTTAAAACTTGCAACCCTCTCAGAGCAGAAGCGCACTGCTCTAACCACTAGGCCAACACTTGGATTAACGAATACAACTTACAAGCCCTGTTCCATAGTAAAATGTACAATTAGAAAACGATCTTCAAATTGTATTTCTAATTGCTTGATTTTAAATATTAACTTTGAAACGGTGGTTATTCTTTATCAGTGACTCTCCTACTTCTCTGGCCCACACTTCCAGCACAGTAGATAGCAATAATGCATCTTAACATTTGATACTAGCCCACAAAAAATCCAAGAAGGAGAAGAAGAACAAGAAGACTTGACTTTTAACAACATTTTATTTACACAATTCAAACATATAAACAATTGACCTAAAATAAGTCTCAGTTAAAAATCATTAAATGAGGAGCTTTTTAAAATGTAGTCCTCCATCATCTGACCCATCACATAAAATGTTAAACCCCACAGCTGAATAAAATCCCCCATGTTCTGTCTGACTCTGTGGAAGTGAACTCCAGCCTTATTCTGGCTTTAACGTTGCATTTCCACCAAGCCACGGCATCGAGGTGAGCTGCCTCCTGCAGTCTGTCTCTACAGGACAGGTAAATGGCCATCTTTGCTACACTGTTTAAAAAATGAAATAGATTAAAAATAAATGAAAAGCCTTTGGTTTATTTCATTTGTTTTGGAAAACTCATCCTATAAAAATAGTATTTGCAAAAATGTTCCCAAAAAGACTAAATACACTAATTAAAAGATTAAAAATTGTCTTTAGTTTTGTGCATTCCACAAAAGAACAACAAGAAGAAGACACATCATAACACAAAAATACAAAAACAGAATATAGTAGTTGGAACTATAGAGCTAAAAACTCATGTACAGTAGGTGGCGGTATGCACCTATAAGTTGTTTGCAATCCGCCAATCTAATAAAGAAGAAGAAAAAATACAAATATCTATGCCACTCACAACATGGCCGTGGCGTTGGCATTCATTGGCCCTCCCTTTGCGTGAAGCTATCTGTAAACTACGTTAATGCTGCCACTCTGCGGCGTCGTGTAGGACCTCCCCAACATTTCATCTAACAGTTGACTAATGGTGGACGCGGTATACTGTTCGCAATTGGTCCTCATAGCTGTCGCCCCGACGCCTTGCCCTCCTTAGGAGCGTAGTGATAACCAGGACCTGGGCAGAGAGAGGGGCTCCGCATTCAGCTCGGCTTCAGACCTCTTTTCCACATTTTATTAAAGGATCTCGCGCCTCCGTTCGTAGTTGTTACTCATGTTCTCGTTGAGCTTTTTCGACTTGGACAGCGTGAATGAAGCAGCGCTGTTAACATTCAAGACCATCTGCTTAGAGAAAAGGGAGGTGGAAGAAAGAAGGAAACGACAGTAGAGAAAAAAAAAGAAAAAAAAAAGACGGAGGTTGTTTGGACCAGGACGACAAAGCGGCTAGCTTCCGGAGCTGTGAGGGCTATTTACACTCAACGTGACATTGATAACTGATAGGAGATAAAACCGAGGATAATCTGCTGCCGGGGACAGCCTCGACAATCTGCTGGCGTCGAAAAGAAGATAAATTAGTTAACGAGGTGTGAGCAAAACATTAGACTGGAGCATCGCTGTCATCTGGAGGAAAACAAAGGAAACACAACGGTTCAGGTAACGTTGGATTTATCAATCTACTAGAAACATTTGTCTGTTTTTGTTTTGTCATTGCTAATAATTTATTCAAACAAATGCAAACCCAGATGGAAAATGACGGTGGGAAGCTGTTGGCTCTTCCTGGGTTTGGGCTCCTTCAGGAAGATGCTGAGGAGCCTAATGGGAACATTTATTATAACAAGTGGCTTCAAAGAGTCTAAACTCTACATTCTTCTTACAGTTGTTTATATTGGCAGTTCAGCAGACATTTAAACAGAGCTGAATCCCACGGATAAGACCTCCACTGTCATAGAGGTATGAAGGCAAATCTGATTAAATTACAGAATAAAAGTTATTTTCCAAGACCAGCAGACAAAACAAGCCCTTTCTGGTTTAGCTAAGTGGATGACATCACTGCCAGGCTTTTCAAAAATGATTTTATTAGTTGTTTTTTTTGCTGGAGTAAAAAGTCACATGCCTGTCTATTGAAGAGGATTAGAGGCACTGATAAAATAAAAACAGTTGACTTTTTTAATTCTATTTCAGTTTAATATGGGGAAAAGGTCAGAATTCTGACTTTTTTCTCACAATTCTGACTTTAATCTCAGAATTTTTTTCCTCTCAATTCTGACTTTGATTTCAGAATTCTGATTTTGATCTCAGAATTCTGACTTTAATCTCAGGATTCTGAGTTTAATCTTAGAATTCTGACTTTAATCTCAGAATTCTGACTTTAATCTCAGAATTCTGACTTTAATCTCAGAATTCTGACTTTTTTCCCCTTAGAATTCTGACTTTTTTCCCCTCAGAATTCTGACTTTTATTTCTCACAATTCTGAATTTAATCTCAGAAGTCTGACTTTAATCTCAGAATTTTGGATCTTAATGTAGATGGGCACCATGGCGGAAGAGATGTGGGAGCACTCAGCTTCACTGACAAAGATGTGAGTTGTTTGAGAGGGCCAGTACACATTGGTGGAAAATTATGCCACTAGGCAACTTTTTACGTGCCCAAGGTAAAGTGATGCTATTTCATTAATGAAAGAGCAGAAGGTGATTAAAACAAGATAGGTAATCTCTAAAACAGACATGGCTACGGCTTGATGCTAACCTGTTTGGTAGCTGTCAGAATTCAGTCAGAATTCTGAGATTAAAGTCAGAATTCTGACTTTTTCTCATATAATACTGAAATAAAATTTTTAAATCAGTTAATTTTTTTTTCCTTTTTTTTTTTCGGTGACCCTAATCCTCTTCTGTACCTTTCTGTTTCCATCAAAGGTTGCATTAGGGAGAAAAAAAGATCTGGGCCACATGCCAGTACATTCTCCTTACTGAAAACGATCTGCATCATGCTATGTTTGTGTTTAACTGAAAGACATTTCCATTCAAGGACAGTTATTTATTCTAAACTCTGTAGCACTTGCTTTTTTTTTTTTTTAAACAGCCAAGACTTGGATCAAACTAAACAATCTGCAGCAGCTCTAGAAACTCAGTCATACCCATAAAGATATTACCATGCGTGGCAGGACAACACTGGGACACCATGGCTTAACATTGCATTGTTTATAACCATTAACCTCATTTTCTGGCTTCTTTCTTCTCCAGCATCACAATTGTGTGCATCATTGGCTATTTTAACCACTGAGATATCAAAATGTCAGCTGTCTTAGGAAAATGGTGGCTAATATCCTGTGTTACACTAATGAAAACAAATTCTTCCTAAAACCACTTCTCTAATGATAAATCAACATTTTCAACATAAAGATGTGGGGATTTCAAAATGAATAGTTTTAAACCTTTTCAACTCATTCCTTTTTAAACATAATGGCAGGTTTTCTAAGTTGTACTTTATTATGATTTACTTTTAAATCTTTAATCTTTTGGACAATTTTTGACACAGAGATAATACATTCTGCACTTCTTCCCGAGGCCGCTGTGAGACCAGCTGTTAAAATCTCTGGCGTAGGGCTGAGTCAGGCTTACTGTGAGATTAATGCTTTAGCCTTTTCAAATAAAGGTTTCGGTCACTTTTAAGGAGGGATTTTCCTCCTAAATTGGAAGTATTTTCAATTGACATTTTGGTGCTTGAATCTCTTTTTACTCATTGTTATTGTCCCGTTTTAAGGATGAACCACCTAACCTTCAGTGAGCTGTGTTGCCTGTTCTGCTGTCCACCGTGCCCCAGCAAGATCGCTTCCAAGCTGGCCTTCCTGCCCCCAGAGCCCACCTACAGCCTCATGTGTGATGAAAGCGGCAGCAGATGGACACTGCACCTCTCAGAGCGGGCTGACTGGCAGTACTCTGTGAGAGAAAAGGATGCCATCGAGTGTTTCATGACGCGCACCTCCAGAGGGAACCGCATTGCCTGCATGTTTGTGCGCTGCTCACCCAATGCCCGCTACACGCTGTTATTCTCCCATGGAAATGCTGTGGACCTGGGCCAGATGAGCAGTTTCTACATCGGTCTGGGCTCAAGGATCAACTGTAATGTGTTCTCCTACGACTACTCTGGTTACGGAGCCAGCTCTGGGAAACCCTCAGAGAAAAACCTGTATGCAGACGTGGACGCTGCATGGCATGCGCTGCGATCACGGTAAGGATGAGACATTTTTTTTTAGGATGGTTACATGTTGCTATAATTGGTCAACGCTTTAAATTCAGATCTTTTTAACATGTATGAAAGTACATTGCAACAAAATGAAGACTGGGTGAAAAAAGGAAGTGGCAGATATTTACATAGACAAAGAGAGCAGAGTTCCTCACACCGTCGGACACTAAATCAGACTTCAACTTTCTGCTGGCATGTCAGGATTACCTGAATCGTTGCTAAATTCCAGAATAAAGAGCAACATTTTACTGAAGTTTATGTTTTCCTTTCTGTGATGTCAGACATGTGCATAGATTGGTCAATCATTTTGCGTCTCCTTCCTCTTGCCCCATCAAGTGTTTTACTCTAGTTTCTAACCCGCTCTTCTTGAACCCATCTTTAATCATACATATATTTTATTGGCTATCTGATTATACTAAACTGTGTTATACTTGAGTCAGAATTTACTTCCCATTTTGGCCCTAAGTTTGGATCATTGTTCAGTCGGAAGGTCCATTTCCCCCCCCCCACGCTAACTTAATGTTTTTTCCCCATCATGCTGTGTATTTTATTTTTCCTCCCAGTTCCCCAATGCATTTGTCAGTTTTGATCAGATAATATTGTTGCTTTGGAAATAATGTCTATTATTATTATTAGGGCTGAAACAATGAATCCATTGTTGAAATAATCGTCAACTAATTTAGTAATCAATTAATTGTTAACTGGAGGGTAGAGACTCTAAAACATGCCTTTAGCTGACAGAGCAACCTGCTTAGAGCTGTAATTATAACAAAATTGTAAACAGTTTGCATTTTTTCGTCTGTGAATATGCTCCATCCAGAACTTAATTTTATCTGATAATTTCACGATTAATTGAAAGGAATAATCGAAAGATGAATCAAAGAATCAAAAGGCATCCACACAAAAGATGTTTCTTTTTTTCTTTTTTTCATAGACATTTCTCATCCAAACCCGTTACCTCCGCAGCACACATCCAGTCTCCTTTTTTCATTCCTGTTTACTTTCATTCTTATCACTATATTTGTTTCAAGAGATTAATGTGCCGCTTTCATGCATCTGGTAGTTGCACGTAAGCATCAATTTGTGCAGTTTCACAAACCGCTTCCTGGAATCTTGCCTTATTTCTTTTGACTTTTGCTCATAATGTCACAAAAATCCCATCCCGGTGCCTCCATATAACTCAGTAGCTTTGAATAAGCTCTTACAAAGACCCATCATTCATAAGGCTTTACAATCTGCTTGAATATATAGTCTGCTTTTAATGTCAGCTTCTCACTTTAAAGGAATTAATTAAAACATATTTTTTAATTTAATATTCTGACATTTGGCAAAAAAAAAAAAAAAAAATAGGCAATTCTACCTGACCTAAAACGTTAAAAGCTTAATCTGATTTCTGTTTTGGAGAGAAAAAATTAAGGTTGTGTTTAATATTATGTAAACATCTACTCTAAGCTTGTATTTGTATTTGGTATGCTATTAACCTCTAAACGGTATACAAAAGCTTTCTTAGCTGCGATTTATTAATGTTACCTTCGTTCACACCGAAGTGACACGATTTTTGGCCCATTTGCGACCTGTATCATATCTTTTCTTTTTTTCTGTTCAGTCTGAACAACACAGATCCAATTTTTTTCCAATGCGACCAAGGCCACTTGGCTATGTGGTCCTGAATTGTGGTCCTGTGGTCCTTTTCATCTGACCTGAACGCCATTAATACCCGACAAAGGTCACTATTCTGGGTCTTGCTATGAAGAAGCAGCAAGAAAACCAACAAATATGGTGGACAATGATGCGGAGAGCAGTATTTATGTTTAACCATCTTGAAAATATTGAGTTTTTTTATGGTTGGGAAAGATCACTAGATGCGCTCCAGCACTACCATCTACAGTATGTTTACTTCTGTAAACACAGTACATTCTGGTCTGTGATGTCATTGTGTCCTCTACTGCGCATGCGTGACACTTGAGTTGTATGACTGCTGTTCATACAGGAGATCACATACCAGTCGCATATATTTGGAAATGTGAATGGCAATGCAATAAAAATTGGATTTCACACAAAAATCGGAATTGGGCATCAAGGCCTGCAGTGTGAACGTAGCCTTTCAGTTAAGAATGAGAGAAAAAATTTGTGCATGATGTTGTGATGTTGTTTTTTGCTATAAATTGAGTATGGGGACATTTTTGATTGAACTTAAAGGAGGTGAGTGGATAAAAAGGCTGATATGACAGAAGCTCAGTAGGATGATGTGGGAGACATCTTCCCTTTGAATTGTATAAAAAAAGCACAAAGAGAGGAGGGACAGGGTGCCTGCTGAAGGAGCTGAGTGGAGGAAGGATTACTCAAATCACGCTCGTCGGTGAAATGACAAGGAATGGTTCAGTTGGTTTAGATGTGGGTGGGTAATGAGTGTGGTTTCTGTTGGTCCACTGCATGAAGGTGGAAGTAAGTGTCGTGATCAGTCCGCTTTAAATGGATGTTTAGGTTTACAGACTATTAATCCCAGACTGATCAGAAAAGTATTTACTCTTTCTTAAGTCTCTTTGTATCGTTGTTGTTAATGTCCAGAACCATCGCCTCATCATATCTTAAGGAACCTCCATTCATCAAAATACATATAATGGCATTGAGCTGTATTGCAATTTTTTTTTTGCCTCTCTATTTTTTAATATTTATTCCATGTTTGTACTGTGGGGAATTTAATCTGGCAGAGAGCAGTCTGTCTTCATTGAAAATGCCAAAGTTTGTATATATTCCAGAGATGAACGTTTGAGATGAACGTGAAGCAGGATGTGGGAAAGGTCAGTCTACTTCACTGGGGCTCGGAAGTGGAAGAGCTTCATATTTCGTCAAAGCTAAAAACTTGTGTCTGGATAACTACAAACGGTAGATTACTGTGAAGCGAAGGGAGATCTAGAAACTTCTTTTTCTTTCTTTGCAGAAATAAAAAACCGAAATGCGCCATCCATTCATGTCCGTCCCCTAATTGGTCAATACTTTGTGAAACAACCTGTTGCTTCAAGTTCAGATGAAAACCTTTTGTTTTTTTTGCCAGTAATAGCTTCCATAAAGCTGTAGTCCGTCAACCTTATCTGGAAAGCTTAAACTCAGTTAGGTTGGACAGAGAGTCTGTCTGAACACTGTGTGTTAAAAGCTGGACTGTTACTGCCCCCTCTAACGAATGAATAAGCTTTGATGTAAACCATTCCTTTCTACCTCTGGCTGTGTGAAGGGTTTTAAGTCACTAGAAGCTGAACCACCAGCCCAGTGTCTTTTTCTTTTTTGTAATCTTTCCCTTCAGAACTGGCCTGTTTTCAGTATTTTGCACCGTCCATCTTCCTATCAAATATTCAGAGCCCACCCATCTCTGTTAAAGAAGAGCATCTCTAGAGAATGATACCTCCATGTTGCCTGCTAACACGTAGGCTGTGTCCTAATGTCCACCTTAATCACTATATGTGATTGCGCCATTTTAGATAAGTGTCAGAAGATCTAGTGGATGAAAAAGTAGTGGACTCAAAATTACCCACAATGCACCTTGAAAAGTAGTGATATCTGATCTCTAAGACAAGCAGATATAATCTGGAATGCTTTGCAAGGAGAGCTCTCCGACCAAAGCATTATGGGATTCGCTATCACAGTGACATGCTGTCGCCATAGGCGACAACAAATTACAAAGATGGCGCAGGCACTGTGCGGGGAGACGGAGTCACGTGACCAATGGTGAGCGAAAAGTAGTGATCATCTGTACAAACAGTCAGTTAACTGAGTTGACTATAAAGTCCACGCTGTATATAGTGATTGAGGGATCTAGGGGTTAGGGTGGAGGTCCGGGTACAGCCTTAGTGTTTTTCTTTCTTAGCAGACATCAAAAATCTTGCTGACCTTTTAAATAAATGTGTTTTTAGTTCAATGCGGATAATTATGTGAGAATCAGTCAGTTGCAGTTCCTTCTCACTGATGAGGCCTGAAGGCTAAAATCATCAGTTTGTTTGACCTCAGGTCACTCACTTCCTTCCATCCATGTTTGAGGATGTCTGCTTTTAGTCTTGGATCATCTCGTCATCTCCTTCTTTTGTTCTTTGTTGGAGCAGAGGGATCATGCTTTATGTCCGAGGGACTGATTCATGGAGGGAATCTGGTTTACAGTAATGCAAACACGAGCTCAAACTGGGTTACTGGTTCCTACTAATATCAGAGTCAGATTCTTTCATGGTTCACAAGATCTGAAGTGGTTTATCTTTTTTTTTTCTTTTTTTCATTGTTTCTGCCATTAAGCCAGATCCAGTTCCCATAAAAGATAAGAACATTTCCTCACAGCTAAGTAGCTGTTGTTTTGTGGAATACCATCCAGTCCGGCGCTTGGTGTTTGGGTTTTGCAACTGTTAAATACTGGGCTTGGCTTTTAGACTGAAGATCATTAAAATGACCCAAAAAAAGATTACCGTAACACTGCAAGTGTTATTTGTTTCTTTTCAGAACCTCTTTAAGCTTAATCAGAATGAAACCAGATGAACTGGGTGTTTTTGTTGAGGAGAACATAAAGCGCTCATACAGATGGAAATGTCTGCAGCAGTGACTGAGCCCTCGGCTGCATGACTTTAGCTCAGTGTTTTCTCAGCTCCAGATGACTGCTTCTCTGCAAATAAAGGGCTCCGCATAAGGAAGCTAGCAGGTTAAACAGGAAGTGTGATGACAATTAAGCCACTGGTTGAAGAAGAACTGGCTTTTCTAGTGGTCACACTTTCCATCTTAATGTATACTGAGTCATTCGGTTCCTCCTGCTTCAACTTCGACTCCCTTTTAGTTACAGATGTGAAAGCAACATTGGAATAAATGCAACTAAAACAAGTGAGATGTTAGGACCACTATGGTTCTGCTGCCTTTTTACCTGAGAATACCTTTTTTGCTAATATATTAGAGGGCTCCCTTCCTCCTAACTATGGGATATTTCCTAAATTGGCCTTGTTCAAAATTAGTAAATG